TTTAACATTTTCAGATCTGAACATATGTTTCCTTGGAGCTCTAAATCTCCAGATTTTTGTGCAGGAACACAAGCTGGTCTACATGCTCAGCTTTCAGGAGGCTTCTCTGTGCAGTCACTATGTCACCGGCAGAGGAGAAAACTCTCTGCAGAGACACTTGTGCCAGGAATGCATAGCAAACTCTTTGCTATTTTGGAGAGCTGAGGATAGTCTTGTTCATGGTTCTTCCACCAACTGAGAGGATTTTCTGTGAGAGGCAAAGGGGCCTCACCTCTATATTTCTTGATCTCACCTGCTGCAAGCTCATTTTCTGATTTTGGTTCAGTATTGTCACTACTAGTAGAGAGAAATGTAGCTCCAAGCAAGTCCACCAAAGCACATGAGGTCCTTGGTCTCTTCAGGGGTGGCTGACTGATGGAAGCACAACTGTCGTTGATGTGAGCATCCTCTGCAACATTCTCCTCCTCCACCTGAAAAACATAATATCAAGCAAATATTAGGGTTAAACCTCATACTAATCTGCATTATATATGTAAATATTTTTTCCAAGTAAATTCAATAAGTTATTTACTTACATTTTTTTTATCATGCCAACCACTGCCTCCAACAGTCTGGAATAGATGTCCCTGGTCTCTGCTTCGGACAGGAAGGGCAGGCCCTTAAACTGAGGATCAACAGCTGAGGACATGTGTAATGTCTCCTTTTCACTGGCATATCTTTTCCCCAGATCTTCTGCAATGGCAGCCTTTATGTCCCTAACTGTTGGTGTATCATCATGGCTTTCTTGTGCACCCATCATGACCTTGGCATGAAGAGGAGCAATAACAGACAGTGTTGGTACGCTCTCTTCTGACATCACCAAGGTGGCGTCCTTCATCGGTTTGAGTGCCCCGACAACTTCTTCTGCACACATGATGTCAGACTCATTTAATGGGAAGACTTCTTTTGCACTCCTGACGTCTGGAGAAAGCAAAGCTGCACAGATGGCTGGTTGCTGTTCTAAAAGGTGTTCTATCGTGTCATAAGAGCTGTTCCATCTGGTTATTATCTCCGTGGTCAGTCTGTGAGCTGGTAACTGAAGGAGGCACTGTTTCTGCTTCAACTGATCGCTGGCTGTGGTGCTGCGTCTGAAAAAGCCTGTTACACGTCTGACTCTCCCCAGAAGTCGAATCACAGATTGTATTTTTAGTGCTTTCTGGGAGGCAAGATTCAGACTGTGTGCAAAACATTGTATGTGCGTCATTATGTGCATCATGCCTGCGAGTCTGGCCGCGACAGCCATGTTTGGTGTGTTATCTGTTACAATAACGACTTTCTTTGTGTTCAACCCCCATTCAGTCACAGTCTCCTTCAGTAATGCTGCAATGTGTTCACCTGTGTGAGTTTCATGCATGGCTCAGGTTTGTAATACATGAGACTGAAGGATCCACTCGTCATTTATGTGATGTGCTGTAACAGTAACGTACGATTCAGTAGCTCTAGACATCCAAGCATCGCACATTAAAGCAACCATCTCTGCTGAGCCGAGAGAGTCCAGGACTGTTGCTTTGGCTTCGTTGTACAAGTTTGGAAGAGCGATGTCCGCGATGTGTTGTCGTGAAGGAACGGCGTAACGCGGCTCCAACGTTTTAATCATATTACGAAATCCTTTATTCTCCACAACACTCAGGGGACGCATGTCTTTACAAATAAAAACAAGTACTGATTTCGTTATCTTGACTGCATGAGTTGAAGTCGCTGGTAGTTTCGAAGTGTTAACTTCCACTATTGTCCGTTGAGTAGGATCACCGAGCTTCGTTTTAAGTGTAGCATTTGATGCTACATCGCTATGGTGTCTGGCCATGTGTGCTCGCAGATTTGTCGTATTACCACAGTATTTCACCCCGGCGCTGCAGAGTTTGCAGATTGCATGGCTCTTTCAAAGTCTCTTCTTTTGTCTTGAATCCATCTCTTTTATTTTTAATCTTAACATTTTATTGTTGACTCTGCAGTCTTTACATTTTTACTGAATGATATTAAAAGAATGAAAGGCAGGAGAGCTGGAGCACTCGTGGGTCCAGAGGGTTACTGAGAAACTCTGACGAAGACACAGGCAGTGTCGAAACCTATCTTTTCCCTTTCTACATCCAATAAAACCATTTGGACTCACCTGGGTGCTCCAGCTCTCCTGTTTTTCCTGCTGGTTGTCCTCCAGCTGTAGAGCACCAACCCGTGAGTGGATGATGCTCAGAGGGTTTTATTCATTGATTTTAAAGGAAGTGATTAAATTACTGTCATGTCCAAAATTACACACCGGCTTTGTTATCAGTTAACAATATTTATCAGTAGCTGTGATGCACCTCTCCAACAGATGAACATGCGATTGTAATCATATGTTTACACAATAACTAAATACTCAATTTATTGATCATTTGACTTGAAAGTACACATTTTGAAAAAGACCACTTGAGCTAATGTGCTGCCCTCTTCTCTAATTTTCCATGCAGCAATGGACTGTGGATAACTCTTCCCCGAGGTACACACCGATGTAGACTTCGGGGAAGTGTGATCATCATCAATCACCTGATGAGGGTCCATCTACAGGAATAACATTTACTCTATTATAACGCATAGTCAATCAAACCGAAAGGGCTTGAGTTAATGAGTTTAGCCTCTCTGCATCTTACCAACATCCATTTCTTTCATACTTATGGTGGGACTTTTTTGTAAATGAAAGTAAAAGCTGTCACAGGGAAGCTCTGCTCTTTACCAGTTTAAGCTTTACTTGGATAATTAGTCAAATCGCCATTGTTTCCTTTTTGGTGAGAGTTTGAGTTCCTGTTGGTTCAGGCAGCGTGTGATGAGCACCGGCTCTCTGATCATGTGTCCGGCTGTACAAAGGATCAAACAAACCAGGTTTCCGAGCACAACACGGTGCTAATGCAGGAACTTGGCTCGTGAGAACTCACGGTGGCTTCTCAGCAGATTCCAGTGGAGCTTTTTCACCCAAAGCCTAAACGGATTAGGTTTCCCTAACCCTGGCCCTATTCATGGCTTTAATAGCCCAATTATAGAATAAAACTAATCACTATTGCATTCGTCGGTACTGAAATGAATGGAAATGACCTTCAATACTTAACGATTTAGGAAACAGTAGCTGGAGTTAACGGTTTAGGTGTGCTGACGGCACTAGCGTGCACCAGCAGGTGGCAGAGTTGTGCCATAGAGAGTATGACTATGTGACTGTAAAGCTGGGCAATATGGATGTAACCAGTTAAATGTATGACAAATGTTCTGATTCTGCTGATGTCAAATGAGAACCTTCAGGTAGGATGAGGATCAGAAGCTCACACATCAGTTCAGAGTTGCTGCTGTAGAAGATAGCAGGGGTCATGATGAAAATGCATCTGAAGGAACTTCAGAAGGTTTTCAGAGGTTTGTTAGATTGAATGGAGGATGTGAGACCTGTTGTGGACTAACGACATTAGGTATGCCCTCATATAACTTTTTTCACTTCTGATACGGTAACAATATTGCAGCCTTCAGTATTGACCAATACCGATAGTCCGATACGGTATCAGCACAAATTATACAAACTTTTACCTGTTTCATAGTGTGGAATGTACGAAAGGCCTGATCAGGTGATATTACTCACACAGAAAGCAGAAGCCAGCAACAGGAAGTATAAAAAATGGACAACTGTTTTATTAACCTTTGGTTGCATGAATTTGACCAGCTGAGGTTAGGGACATAAGTTTTTAAGTGGAGTGTCTAAAGTTTCTATTTCACACATTGAGAAAATCCTCCTGCAACATTTAGAGATCCTGCTTCAAACGCACGATGAGGTTGGACGAATTAATCTTCCAGGTTCTGTTCCACCACGGGAAACGTGTGCATGACGAGTGCTGCACCAAGCCACACTGTCTTTTTCGGACTTTATCACATGGCTACCTTGCTAGCACACACTATTCGTCACGTGGACTTTAGCATGCTAGATCTGGGCACAGCTGTGTAGAAATGCTGGAATGGAATTTAAAGTGGAACGTACTTCTGATATCAGAGATTTTTGATGCAGTCCCGTATAATCTGATAGTGTTTTTGAGCCAATGTCCGATATCAATATTGGAACGGGACCTCCCTAAACGACATTATTGGACTGTTGTGGACATAAAAAGCTGTTTTTGTTTGAGAAAATTATTTTCTGTTGGTGGTACGAGGCTTTGAGCAGCATCTCTGAGAGGTTTCATTAAAGCATTTAACTTGCTGCAGTTACGATTTCATCATGTTGGGAATAATTTGACCCTGAGGAACTGAATTTCCCTCCCGTGGTGAAACACTGAGCTTCATTGAGAAGATTGCGGGCATGCAGCTAAAGTGCTTTTCAAGTCATTTTTTGAAACTTTTATCATATGTTCTTATGAAAGGATTTAAAACGGCAGCATGGTGTCTGAAAGCTGAGAAAGTGTAAACGTGAGTTTTGACAGATTTCATTCATTATCCCAAAGGCATTCTGGCTTTGTCCGAGACTCACCGACTGGATGCTCTCCAGCTACAAACGTCTGCAGAATGTATAGAGACGCTTCTGAGACTAGCAGGGCTGCTGCTTCCCATAATCCTTTACTTTGTGGTTTTAGCTTTTTAGGGAGCAGATGTGGGATTTATGTGAAATCAGCTCCTGTCTGAAGACGTAAGTCAGATCACAAATGTTCACATTTAGATGCACATAAAGTTACATCATATTTATCTACACATTTAAATAAGATAAATATAGAAAGTTGATGTTAAATGGAGTGAATAAAAACTTCTAAAGCTAAATGAAGCATTTTAGAATCAAAACCCTTGCGTTTGGATGCAGAGCTGCCCTCCCACCTGCTGAAACAACGATGCACAGAAACATCGCACTTTAACCCGCGGCTCCTTTTCAGTTAGGAGAGCTCAGAGAAGTTTCACCTGACTCCATCATCATCATCACATCTGCACTTTGGATAGGAGACAAACAGGACAGAAGGTGAGACACCTACCAAAGAAGGTGACAGCGAAGCCTTCCAGGACACAAGCCCACTTTCCGAGGAAGAAAAAGCCCCTGGCGTTGGTCAGAAAGCTGATCAGCCCCCCGGTGAGGGAAACCAGGAAGTCCGCGATGGCCAGGTTAACGATGATGTAATTCAGCGGCTGTCGGAGTTGTTTGAACTTAAAAGTGACGAACATGACCAGGAAATTCTCGGTCAGAGACAGCGACGTCACCACGAACATGAGGACGGCAAGCACGGTAAAGTTCCAGGGCGCGATGTTCTTGATGGGTCCGCTGAACGGATCATCGGTGGCGGAGAGCTCCGCTGCTTCGGTGAAAGACACCGCGTTCACGGACAGACTCATGGGATCCATGCTCCACACCAGACGAGTTTAATGAAGATGGCTTACTGTGCGATCCGTTTGTCTCATGTCCACAACTTTACCTCAGAGACGCTCCCGGACACGAGCACACCAGGATGCGTAAAAGCGCAGCTTTGCGTCGGAGGCCCAGTGCGCTTTGGCTCTTTCCAGTTAAAGTTTAGGATCCGAGCATCGCGACGCGCTGCTGACAGAGACCCGCGTCTCATAGAGTTCACTCTGTTCGCAAGCTCCGCAGGTGGGAGCTGCAGGAGAGAGACGCCTTCAAGGTGCGTCAGAACAGTCTGCGGCATTTTAGAGCCTCTTATATACCCGCAACTCTTGCGTAACGGTTGGTGACGGCAGGATCTCATCCTCCAGTCCGGTTCTGGTGACATCAAAGAGCCCCAATTGATCATATGTCTCATTTACAAACATTAATAATTTATAATAAACTTGATTTGAGACAGGTCAAGTCTGAAAAGTCTCTAAAATCCACCACAACAAGATGAACACCAGAAATGATTTTACCAAACACCAAAGTTTCTGAAACGACAAAAATACAGAATAATAAAAAAGTTTGTTTTGTGAAGGAATAGATATAAAAATAACACCTAAAAAGGTTGTTGTAAAAAGTTTCTTATTTTAGGAACCCAGCAGATTTCATCGAGTCACTGACTTGCAGGGACAGCAGTAGCTCAGGAGGTAGAGCGGGTTGTCCAGTAATCGGAAGGTTGCAGGTTAGATCCCGAGAATGCTGCTGTTGTGTCCTTGGGCAAGAAACAAAAAATAAAAATGGTGTAGATGCCATGTCCTGCATTCTGGTGCATTTACACAGGTTGTTGAACACTGTTTTACCTAGTAAAACCTTATTGCCACATCAAACCTCTCGCTGTTTAATGCAGAAAACACAAAAAGATAGACACTTCTAATAAAACGTTCATTGTGTTTTATTTTATTTTTGTTCATAAGAAAACCAGCAGGTGGCTGAATTTAAATTAAATGAACCATTTTAACAGTTAATAACAACCACACCTCTTTGCTGTATCCCTATTTTACTAAGCAACACTTTAATTTATCCCAGTACAATTAGTATTATTACCAGATCAAAACACAGATACTAGCAGGTATTTTGTTAGTAGTAGAGTTTTTATGTAACCAACAACTGCACTGATCTGAGACATACCCAAATCCTTATTTTAGCAGCATTTATTAGGCCGAATGGATGTGTGTTCCAGACATCTATGTTGTTCATTTTTATATTCAGATATCCATGATAACATTCTAACTATCCATACTGAACACTTGAGATTTCTTAAATAATAAAAATTCTTAGGACAAATGATGTCACATTTCCCATTCATGTGTACTGGGTTGGCAACACCAGACTGAAGATCTGCCTATCTGAAATGAAAATAGTTCTAGTTTAAATGTAAGTTCAGACATTAAAATAAAATTACTCATATCTGGATGTGTTTTTTCATCATATTTATTTAAAATAAGACGTTTTACTAGTAACAGCTAAATTCTAGGTGTTTAAAGTGAGAGTTTCTCCTAGTCAGATTTCAGTTTAGTTACTGTGTTTAATTAAGATTAATTTTCACTCAGAACAACAGACTGGATCAGAACCACAGAACCAGTCTGCCTGATAAATGTTTAACAGCCAGAGAGGCCTATAGAGCTCCGGACCCCACGTGACTCTCAGTTGGTAGACGCCATATTGGCAGTCAAAAAAGGAAAACAAACACGGATCGTAAACATGAACATGAATGGGATCGGCTTGGATTATACTTTGTTGGAGTTTACTTCACACTTTAAAACCGAAGAAATCGTTTTATATAGTAAGAAATAATCATCCCCGACCCTTACCGTGCCCCTGGGATACTTTTTAAAAACGTCAGAAGCTGTCGGAGCGGACTTCTTACCGGACCTGGCTGGGGAACCCCTTGGGATTCCCCCGGAGGAGCTGGCCCAAGTGGCTAGGGAGAGGGAAGGCTGGGCCTCTCGACGCTACTGCCCCGTAACCCGACTCCAGATAATCGGATGAAAATGGATGGATGGACAAATAACAGATTTACACGTAAGTAGTTTAAATAGAGTGCTGTGCTGTTTGAATGTATAAACTGAACGCCAAGAGAAATCACTAGTTTGATTGTTTTCCGTGAATAAGATAAATAAGTCAGGCAGGAGCGTCTGAGGATCTGTCTGAGATCTGTCTCGGTGAGACAGATAATAGCAATCCAAAGTGCTTTTTATGTGTGATCTGACAATTGATCAACCATTGCTTAAAAATTAAATACAGCTTAGCCGGTTAATTGCTGTGATCATAAAACACGTAAACGGCAGCACGCAGAACTCACGAGGCAACGTTTTACGTGATGTTTACTTGTTGCTATGAGTAATAAGACAGAAAAAGCCACGCCAAAATAAGTTTAGGAAGCCCACTAAGAATCGTAATAAAAGCATTTAAAATAAATACCATACACAGTTGAGGAAAGGTTGGTTTAAGTACCTGATATGAAGTGGTTGCTGCATAAGCGAAAACCTTTACTCTCAGGATCCCACAGTTTCATTTTAGCCCGGTCACTAGTGCGTTTTATTACAATGATCCAACGTTTGCGGCGCTACAGATCTTGGGGAATCCTGTAGATGGCTCATTCCTTATGTCGTCCGCGTCTGTTCTGCATCCTGGGGCACAACAAGAATCTATCGTATTTCCCGTTTGATTGAGTTTTCTGACAATAACAAATAGTCCAGCTGCGGGCTTCTGCATGCCAATATGGCGCCGTTTCGATTTGAACTGTTGCATGCCGGGAGAAGTGACGTCAACTCCCGGAGCTCTATAGCTGATGACTAACACTGACTAGCTAACTCCACTAAAACCTGTCCTGTGGGACTTTTTAACTTACTTTATGATTCTTTGTAAGAAATCTCCAGATGTCCATGTCTGTGGGGGAGGGGTCAGACATGGAAAAGACCTATTGTTGGAGTGACTTCTCCTCCAGCTTCACAAGCCTGCACTGAACTTGACCTTCGGCTCTGTCTTTTTTTTTAACTATAGTCAGTCTATGGGTCCAACAGTGTCTGGACCCATCTACTTCAGTGTCTGGACCCATCTCCATAGTGTCTGGACCCATCTCCAGCAGTGTCTGGACCCATCTCCAGCAGTGTCTGGACCCATCTCCATAGTGTCTGGACCCATCTCCAACAGTGTCTGGACCCATCTCCAATAGTTTCTGGACCCATGTCTGGACCCATCTCCATAGTGTCTGGACCCATCTCCACCAGTGTCTGGACCCATCTCCAACAGTGTCTGGACCCATCTCCAACCGTGTCTGGACCCATCTCCATAGTGTCTGGACCCATCTCCAACAGTGTCTGGACCCATCTCCAGCAGTGTCTTGACCCATCTCCATAGTGTCTGTACCCATTTCCAGCAGTGTCTGGACCAATCTCCATAGTGTCTGGACCCATCTCCAGCAGTGTGTGGACCCTTCTCCATAGTGTCTGGACCCATCTCCAGCAGTGTCTGGACCCATCTACAATAGTGTCTGGACCAATCTCCAATAGTGTCTGGACCCATCTCCATAGTGTCTTGACCCATCTCCAGCAGTGTCTGGACCCATCTCCAACAGTGTCTGGACCCATCTCCATAGTGTGGACCCATCTCCAACAGTGTCTGGACCCATCTCCTATAGTTTCTGGACCCATGTCTGGACCCACCACCATAGTGTCCGGACCCATCTCCACCAGTGTCTGGACACATCCCCAACAGTGTCTGGACCCATCTCCAACAGTGTCTGGACCCATCTCCAGCAGTGTCTGGACCAATCTCCATAGTTTCTGGACCAATCTCCATAGTTTCTGGACCCATCTCCAGCAGTGTCTGGACCCATCTCCAGCAGTGTCTGGACCCTTCTCCATAGTGTCTGGACCCATCTACAGCCGTGTCTGGACCCATCTCCAGCAGTGTCTGGACCCATCTCCAACAGTGTCTGGACCCATCTCCATAGTGTGGACCCATCTCCAACAGTGTCTGGACCCATCTCCTATAGTTTCTGGACCCATGTCTGGACCCACCACCATAGTGTCCGGACCCATCTCCACCAGTGTCTGGACACATCCCCAACAGTGTCTGGACCCATCTCCAGCAGTGTCTGGACCCATCTCCAGCAGTGTCTGGACCCTTCTCCATAGTGTCTGGACCCATCTTTAGCCGTGTCTGGACCCATCTCCATAGTGTCTGGACCCATCTCCAATAGTGTCTGGACCAATCTTCAATAGTGTCTGGACCCATCTCCATAGTGTTTGGACCCATCTCCAGCAGTGTCTGGACCCATCTCCAGCATTGTCTGGACCCATCTCCATAGTGTCTGGACCCATCTCCATAGTGTCTGGACCCATCTCCAATAGTGTCTGGACCAATCTCCAATAGTGTCTGGACCCATCTCCAATAGAGTCTGGACCCATCTCCATAGTGTCTGGACCCATCTCCACCAGTGTCTGGACCCATCCCCAACAGTGTCTGGACCCATCTCCAACAGTGTCTGGACCAATCTCCATAGTGTCTGGACCCATCTCCAGCAGTGTCTGGACCCATCTCCAGCAGTGTCTGGACCCATCTCCATAGTGTCTGGACCCATCTCCAGCAGTGTCTGGACCCATCTCCATAGTGTCTGGACCCATCTCCATAGTGTCTGGACCAGTGTTGGGAGTAACGCCGTTTAAGTATAACGGCGTTTCTAACGGCGTTCTTTTATAGGTAACGGAATAATCTAATTAATTACTTTTCCCGCCGTTGCAACGCTGTTACCATTACTGGGGACGGAACGTTGTGCGTTACTATGTGCTTGTCGAACGTTGAGCAGCAGTGTGAGGCTTTCTGACCACCACACTTCAGCTGCAGCCAGGGAGAGAGAGGTGTCGGTAACACACTTACAAACACGATGATGATTGGCCGGGTGGGCGGAGACCCTCACGGTCTCAGTCACTGCATTCTGTAGACACAACGGGAA